TATTATGCCTAGAAAGTTAATAATAGTCACATGCTGTCCTTTATTGTTTTAAATATGCACGAATGAGATTTTGGATGATGATGGTTTTACTTATGGTATAGGTAACTGTAGCATCCTGAAGGCTGACTAAGAGGGATGCCTAAAATAATTCAGGTGAAATGGAACTCCAGTACGTCCTTTCCAGAGACTATCTGAGCCCTCCTCAAAGCAGGTCTAACCTCAGTTCTGGCCTGCAGAGAGCCTTTGTCCTAAAAGGCATGGTACAACGGACAAGGAAGAGCTGGGATGTAATAGTATAAGGATATCAGTGGTCTGATATAAACATAACCTTGTTTGGTCCTTATTGGACTCCGTTTTTCTCACAAGTACTTTACTAACAAAAGTACTTTCATCATCTTAGCACCAGTAGAAGCCTTTGGAGTAGGAAATAGGTGAACAGTTGGGTGCAGTGCTATCAAACGCAGAAGGGATCCTGCCTCTCTCCTCTGGATGGATGCCAGCCTTGGGCCCTTTGCTTTTTAAAATACCCACACAAGGACAGCAGGCTATTAGCTGGAGCTGAGGGAACATCCATGGGATGGAGAGGGAAAGGACTTGGGCAGAATGGGTCAGGAGGAGTCTGGCAAAGGAGAACTCTAAGGAACTTGTATTGCCCAGACTAGCTTGCCCACCTGGGCCAGCTTGCTGGCTGCTTGAAAATGGAGCATTTCACTAAAATCGAAGAGAAACCATTTTGTCTAGAGGCACAGCAACACTTTTTCTACTCTTCATAATTCACCTGCTCAATCCAAGCTCCTCACATGATGCTCACTGTGCCCCCTGGCCCAGCAGCTCCTGCCCTCCGCCACACTTTGACCCGCCAGCAAACCCTTGGAATCAGAGAAGCACAGAATCCCAGAGTCATTTATGTTGGAAAAGACCTCTGACATCCTTGAGTCCAACCATTAACTGAGCACTGCCAAGGCCACCACTAAACCACGTCCGTAAGTGCAATAGCTACACGTCTTTTAAATACCTCTCCACTGACTCTGCTTGGCTGCTGCTCCTGCCTTGCCTCCAACTCTCCCGGGGTGCAAACCTCCCGAAGCTCCCCGGCTGCTGCCCAGGGCCAGGGTACCTGTGTTGGAGAGAGCCCACAGGACGCAGTGCCCACCCCGACGATGCCACAGGGCGAGTGGGACAACACCGGTTTCTGCCGAAAGAGGGAGTCGAAACCTTTGTTCGGTGTTAAAGACACGCACACGGATCTAAGAAAATAATGACAGATGCAGCCAGTGCTCCCCCTACGCAACTGCTGCCCCACAGGAACGTGACGCCTTTCACAAGTCGTGTGCTTGTGGATTGTCTGGGAAGCACGCGACAGCACAGTGGGATCCAAAGGCATTCCATGCAGACTGCACAGTACACAGGTATTTCTTGCTGTTCTGCAGCCTATTGCTGCCACACATTTCTCTTCTTTTCTAAGAAGAGAAAATTGCACTTTCATCTAAGGCAGAGAGTATACTTTGTGGACACACAACACGTACAGGTAATATACATACAGATATAGGACATACTATATATGTATACTATATATTTACTATGCTCTATATACATGCTGGCTGCATCAAAAGAATGTCCTGGGCTGCACCAAAAGCAGCATGGCCAGCAGGCCAAGGGAGGTGATTTTGTCCCTCTATTCCACTTTGGTGAGAGCCCACCTGGAGTACTGCATCCAGCTCTGGGGTCCCCAGTACAGCAAAGACATGGACCTATTGGATTAAGTCCAGAAGAGGGCCACGAAGATTATACAAGGTCTGGAGCACCTCTCTATGAAGATAGGATGAGGGAGTTGGGGTTGTTCAGCCTGCAGAAGAATCCCTGGAGACCTTAAAGCAGCCTTCCAGTACCTGAACAATCCTGGAAAGCTAGGTACCTAAAGCATACAAGAAGGCTGGAGAGGGACTCTTGACAAGAGCATGTAGTGATAGGAAACGGAGAATGGCTTCAAACTGAAAGAGTGCAGGTTTAGTTAAGATATTAGGATGAAATTCTTTACTGTGAGGAGGGTGAGACACTGGAACAGGTGGCCCAGAGAAGCTGTGGATGTCTGACCCCTGGAAGTGTTCAAGGGCTGGTTGGATGGAGCTTTGAGACTTGGTGTAGGGGAAGGTGTCCTTGCCCATGGCAGGGGGGTTGGACAGAGCTTAAACAGCATTGCTTTTTCCGTCAGCGGTGGTTCTCAACTTATGCTTTCAGCTAAAAGCAAAAATTTCCAAGAGAGCACTGAGGGACAACAGCTCCTGGTTGTAGTCACATATTATATGCTAGTAAACTCCCTGTGCTGTGCAACACACCTCTTCAGTCTGTGCTTTAAACTGTCCTCAACTGAAGCTATTGCATTCACACATAATATTTGTAAGCCATCTTTGTATGCCAGTAAAATATTGTAACGTAAAAATGCACATATCTACTAAAAATAAAAGCTTCTTGTGTGCAAGTAACAAGTCCTGGTGTGATTGATCAGGCCAGGTGATGTGGGCAACAATCTTCTTCTCAGAGGTGCACATGTGCCTCTCCCCTCCACAAGCAAGTGCTCAGAAGCAGTGAGGGGCAAGCACAAGCTCTTGATCCACCTCCTTTATGCAGGACACTTGTTTCCACAGGAAGGTTGTGCGCTCTCATGCCATGGGGATTTATAAACTGCCTTCAGTGGGAAAAGCAGCGCGACCTGTGAGGAGCTGTGTCCTTTCCAGAGGAGGTCTCTCCACAGCTGGGATGGGGTGCCAGGAGAAGTCAGATTGGCAGGACTAACCGTGCTTTGAAATCCAGAAACATCTGCGTTCTCATACACCAAGGTGGCTCCAGGGGTTGCCTCACTGTCCAGTTACTGAGATTACATTGTTTTCTCCCTTGCTACATGTACCACCTCCTGCAAAACTGACCAGATAAAATGGAAGGATTCCCTTATCGGACACCTCTGAAAAAAGAGTGGATTTTCAGTACAGAATTAGCCACAATATTGTGTGGTTTTATTTTCTACGTGGAATCCTGTGAATTCTTTCAAAACTGAACTAAATGCAATGTGACATTCCATTCCCCTTCTCTTGGCAGGTCTTTTCTTTCTGTCCTCTGAGTTCTATCTTCTACTTTGCTCCTTTTCTTTAAACTCTGTGTTTTGCTCAGTTCCACATCCCTCATCTCCCTCAAGTCCTCTCCTTTGCTAAGGTTAACTCACACTTATGGTCCCTATTTATCTCCCGTCAAAAGGCCAGATCCTGCTTTCAGTTCAGCCATGAACCTGGAATTTTTCACCCATTTTTAAAGTATGTACATTCCTGCTTTCTCCATTGCAACCATTCAGGTTTAGAAACAGTCCCCTACAAACATGTGTCAGTCCAACTAACTTCTCCTTCCTCTTAAAACTCTCCTTCGGAAAACAAATGACAACAGCTGAACTACCAGTTAGTTGTGATTCTCACCAGTCACACACATTTGTCTGGTTGTACCATTCCTCTGCTCCCCTCACTGGTGTTTCATCTCATATTTGGACTGAACATTGTTGGTAGCACATACCCTCTTTGAGTTTCAGAGTGGACTTTCTGTGGTCAAAGCATCCCTTTATATGTGAAAACGGGAGGAATGTAATCCTACTAAAAATTGCACCAAATCCAGTATTTTTTAAGTAAATGCACACACATTTTATATATCTGAATATGCACACATGCATGTATATATATAAACACATATAGTATTTATGTGTTCATGTGACTCTCCTACCAAAATAGTGCTTATACTCATTTATATAAAATACTGATTACTGTGGCCACCCAGTTAAAGACAGCTAATCTCATTTAGGTTTTTGTTATGGGAGAACAAAAGCAAGAAATTAATTGCGCTCATGTATTCCTCTTACTAGTTCAAATGAATGCTGTGCTTTTATTTATCCTCAAACAGATGCAGTTTCCCCCCCAACGTGGGAGTTGTAGCTCCATGTGTTTTCAGAGCTGAGTGCCTTTGCAACTGCACATATACTCCAAATACACACGTCTGAGAGATGAGTCTTTGAATACAGACTTTTAATTTTCTTCAACAAACTCTTAACTTAGTTAAATTCATCAAACCAGTACATAAATATTTCTCACTCGTTCTCTGTATATATACATATGCATACACACATATATATGCATATATGTAATCATATATATATACACATACAAACATGAGAGCCAGAAACACTGCCCTTTGCCCAGTACATTGCAATATGTTTTTCTGGCTTGTTCTTCTGTTTCAGACAAAAATAATGAGACCTTTTCTCCATCACACATTCAAGAAGGCACTGGTAAGCACTAGACAGCACAGGTTGTGCATGAACCAGCTGCAACAGTCCCTGTGCTCACTAAGTTACAGGCAACCTTTAACACTTGTTTTGAGCGAGGAAAATGGTTTGGTAGGTATGGAGCCAAATCAACCCACGTCTTAGCAAGAAGTTGAGGCTTGAGAACCTGAACCTGGTGGCTTATCAGGCAGATTTCCACAAACACCAGGCTCACTGTGGGTGTATTTCAAAGTATTACATAACTGTCCAGGAAAGTCCCCAGTAAATTACTCCAATGCTGTCTCAAAAGACATTCCCAGTCTAGTAGAGGAATTTTAACAACAGCAACGACTTTTATTTCAAAATACCAAATCTTGGCTTTACTAAAACCAGTGTGAATTTCCCAAGTACTTAAAATCCTCTCCATAGAAAGGTATTCTGTCTTCTCTTGCTGCCAAAAAATACTGCTTGTGTCACACATAAAATAGAAACTATGCTATGAGATATTCAAAACTGTGCCAGACAAACACTATGTAGGCTGCAAAAAACATGCTCCTCGCATTCCCAGAAATGGTTCATGAAAGTTTCACCATCAAGTGGAAACCAAGTTTTTTTCCGGCTCTCATGTGTGCATTTCTGTTCTACGGTTCTTGCACGAAACAGGAACTGTGTTCAACAGCATCTGAGATCCTTCTTTTACCACTTCTTTTTTTTTTTAATTGGAAATCACAACCCTGGAAGCATTTTGAGTACCAACTTTTCTCACAGAGGTCAAGGGGAGTTTTGAACTGACATCACCAAGACCTGCATTCTACCCCTTACGTTTGACCACGTTTTGCAAAATGCCCAGCAAAATTTTCCACACAACTGTGACATTTGGATATCCCCTGTACAGGCAACAGTAGAAAGGATTTAGACTTGGAGAATATCATTTTACATACCCCAGGTGCCACTAAACATGTTTTAAAATTCCAAGGAATAAATGCTCTTTGTGCTTGTCCCTAGAACAGGGCAATGTCTGAAAGGGAACAGGTCATATTTAATTTATCCTGGGCTAGGTGGACTTTTTTCCTATAGACAAAATTTGATTTCTGAAGTAATTCATTAGTCTTCATTGCTACTTTTTCATAAAATATTTGTGGAGGAAGAATCTGTATGTTTCAAAATTAAAACCTGTACTTATTTCAAAACATTTAACTAGTCTACATATACAAATTATCACAGCGATTATTTTTGTTACATGTGTCTTTTCCTTTCTAAGACAGAAAGTTGCCCGAGTTCTCTAGGTACAGAAATGCCCGTGGCCTATAAACATACAGAGCCTCACCTTCACGCAAACAAAACCTGTCATTTAAAAACCAGACCCTGCCTAAATAATATGATCATAGCAACAAACCAAATCCTGAAGGACATTGATCAAAGCCCAAGAAAACACACAGTCATTCCAAAAAACCCTTACTTCATGCACTGGAAAATACCAAAAATTACATACAGGCACTGTGCTGAAAGCTGCAAAAATTTGACGCAATTTCTGGATAAGGACTTGTGTGCCTGACTTTTTTCATTTTTATCATTTAATTAAAAAAGGAAAAGAAATCTGTCTCTCTCTCTCCCTAAATCTTGTCCTGTACGTTTTCCAGGCCAAGCAAGACTGTGTAGATCTGTACTTTGGTACACACGTGTTCATTTGGATTTCCAAACATCCTTCTCTCTCCCATATTCTTTCACCTCCTCCCCTTTGCACCTGCTATTGTCTTTTCTACTTTTTTATGACCTATATCTTATTCTAAACGTATGTATGTATTAAATATGCCTGTGTGTATAAAAATGGACACATATACACACGATATACAAACACAAGTACACACAGAAACATATGTTAAATGCTTAAGATATATGTGTAGATTGGTTTCATGGAGTTGCAGTTTGGAACCTTCAGCTTGGCTTTACAGAGATGCTCCCTCCTCTCCACACCACCTCCTGCAAATCCTAAGGTGCTAATACTGAGCACTTCCAAGAGTCAAGCCAAGTAAGCTGATTTATTAATCTAAACTTCAAACCCAGTATTGTATGAGCTTGGCATTACTGTCCTGTTACCTCCTGTACCAACCTGAATCACCCCTGGGGTTAATATTCCAGCCTGTGGTCAACACTAAGTTCCTCCAGACAGTGAGGATTCAGCAAATGCAAGGGTTATCCTCATCTCTGACACCAGAAAACTAGAACTATATATATATAAAACTAAGCTTTTTATCACTGTCTTTTAAGTTAGTATGTAGCCAGCTGACAAAAAAAGAAAGCAGCACGTAGGACACAGCATACATCCATTGTTACAGAAGTCCTCTCTCAATTAGCCATGGAAGTCATTCAAGTCATTCCAGTTCTGATCTTATTGCATCATTCGATTCACCTTTATTGCTTCCAGTGAGTATCTTCATGACCCGTATCTGAACAGCAATTCACTCAGTTTGTAAAGATTCAAATTTACAGTGGTCACTTACCATACCTTGCCATACACACATGAATTTTCTCTCATCCTATCTGTGTATTATGTGCTGAATGACAACTTTTATTTAAAAAGAAATTTGAGAAATGAAATATTACAGGCATTAATAAAACTTTGCAAAGAATGACATAATAGTCCCATAACCCTTTACTGAATTGAAAGTGAGGTGACCTTCAAACCTCTTATTACTGTAATAAAAAATCAAGTACTGTAAAATAACGTAAGCTAGAGAAATTAGACTTGTAAGTGAAGAAAATACGATTTTTCTTGATAGATAAATCTAGTTGTTGTAGTTGCTGGCACCTCTTTTCCCAGTCATTAAGTCTGATAACACATCTAACAAGGATTTACAAGAAAAAACCCACCTATTTTATTTTAAAAATAAATTTAGATGATATCCAGTAACAAGTAGAAACTAAAGTTACTTTTAAAAGGATAACCAGACTAGAAACCACCAAGTGATCTGAAGGCTTGGGAACAGTTCACATCATTTCTTAACATCACTTTGAGTCACCAGTCATGCGGAGCCAGTTTCTCTCTCCTGACGCCCTCGTGGGGCTGACCTTGGTGACTCTGCCCAGCAGGTGGCTTTGATCCTCTTCCAGGCGTGTACAAACTCATCGAGTGAAGTTCCTTCACACAGAAAACCATCAGTGCTGCAGTAGAAAATTAGTGGCTACATTTAAGTCATTATTTGAAGCCCTCAGAGCTTCTAGGGCATCTCCTCTGGAAAATCCCATTTCCATAAGCCGTGCAACCTGGAAAAGAAATACTGCTTCAAAACCAGAATTTTATTCACACCATGTGTGCATTAGTCACGTTAAAATTGTGTCAGAAATTCCTTTTCACTGATAAAAGATTTATCTGAGACAGCACGCTTCAAAACACTGCCACAGAGATGACCGCTTTATGATACTTTATTCAAAACTGATTGCAGAAAATGCCACACTTGCATTTTCCTAGCTGGTGCAGTTTTGAAAGAAGACTAAAATCCAAAGTGTGGTACCACACATGACAACTACAGTCTGACCTGCTTGCTGCTCTCAACAAGAGCAGGATCTCAAGAAAACAACACTGACCAAAAGACGGAATTTTACATCAGATGCGAAAACCTATCCAGATAGCTCTACTATCCTTGAAAAGACACACTTCTCCAGAGGGCATTAAAAAAACCTCAGAACTATTCATTCTAGGTGTTTTTTTTAATAAACCTTCAAGTTAGCTCTAAAATAGAGGCAGTACAATACTTAAATGGGTTTAGTAAAATTCTTGTAAGCCATCTACATGTACTCAAAAAAGCACTTTTTTGCAAAAGACTTCCACAAAACAAAAGTCAAGATATCTGATGGAAAAATTACATGGAAAAGTGCACATTAAGACAGTGATTTTGGTAATCAAGAACCACTTGACCATCCCTCTTTATAATACCATGTACTTGACACCTAATCTTTGTGCTTTGTGCTAACAGATATTCAAAATCACCACATGGGAAAAGCAATGTATGCATAATCAAATTTAATTTATCGTTACATTCCAATCTGAAGTACATTTAGAATCTACAATTCTCACTTTGGTATGACTGAAAGTCACAATATTCACTTTTATAATTAATCTTCCAGAGAGTGGAAAAACAAGGTGTGGAGAGGCAGGGAGTGACATGTAAAATTAGCTGTGGCCACTGACAGCATAAAGCATTCCTCATCCTGCTTCAAATGGCCTTGTGACCAGACACCACAGCTCCTGAAACTGGATGGCCTGGGCTACAGGAGCTGTCGGAGAGCTACCACTGCTCCTCCTCTGCCTGTAGGAGCCTGCAGCACCAGAGTGGAGCCAAGCAGGAATGCAGCAGAGGCTGTTTACATCTCGGGAAGAATATTCCCAGAGTGCAAGAGTAATGTGCAGCACTAGTATTGAAAGTACTCTAAATGCCTTTTAAAAGAAAAGTGCCATCAAAAGCAGATTTTCTTTCCCCTAAGACACCTCCAGAACTTTCAGTATTTTTAATCATCTCTGCTTTGGTGACTTACTGAGAAATACACAACTGTCAAGTATGCCTGGGGGTGCAGGTCCTCCTGTTCTTAATATAAATACACCATGACAAAATGTTTGAGAATGGTTACCTTGGTTATCAGAACATCAACCTTAAAACCCAGTGTCAGTTTCTCACCTTCTTGTAAGGAGAGAAATGAATTGTTACTTTCAACACTTCTGCAACAATAGTTTAAATTCAAACTCAATTTCGTAACCTACAACTTTCTAAAGTTTCCTCTGCCTGATTTTTCATGTAAGATTGTGTTTTTTATGAGAAAAAGGGCAGGCAGTGGAATAAAACCTAACCACAGAAACACGTTTCAGAAGAAAGGCTTTTACTGCATTTGGCATGAATTCTAACCTTAAGAAGTGGTGGATAGAAGTGCAACTTCGCTGTTTAGAGATATATCCATTGAGCATCATGGGGAATAGTAACAAAAAAAAATATCTCTTTTCATCTGAGTGTATTTTAATCACAGGAACTGAATCCAGCTCCAGGAAACAGAGATGTATAACTGGCAATGGTAATTCAAGGTGCTAAAAACCCACAAGAAATGCAGAGATTTTTGCACAAAAAGCATTGCAAATGCTCACAAACTTTAATCTGAGAAACAGATGAAACCCTTGCATTTTTGCCATTCTAAAATAACTTGTGTAGTTATTAGTACAGTCCTGAGAAACCAAAGGTGCTTCAATGACTTTTTCTTTGCAGGGTAACCAGACAGCACTGCAAAATGACAGCAATCAGGTGGGCTCTACAACCTCAATGCATCAGGAAATATAAGTGTATATTGCTTTCAAAAATCTGGGCCTAAAGGCTTTGGGTAAGAATACAGCATAAGTCAGACTAGTAATTAATTTATTAGTTCCAGCCACAAAATAAAAGTTTCTATAAGCAGAATTTGTCAATAAAACAAATAAATAAACCAACCCATTAGGGAAATCTTTTGGTTCATCCCATACTGGCACTGAGTAGACTTTCAGGCCAGCCAAAACTAAATTTCTGGGGTTAGTCTCAGAAAGTGCTTTTTGGCGTGGAGTTTTTATTTTTATTTCTTTTTTGTTTGTTGGTTAAGGTTTGGGATATTTTGTTGTTTTTTTTTCATTCTTTCTGGATGTAGCCCAGCAAGTTGGCAGTCAAAACCACCAGTGCAGGTAAAGTTTTGAACATTTTGAACATAATCGAACATTGAATCAAAACTAGAAATCAGATCATAGCAAAAATTTCTGTTTGGGAGAAGCTCATTTTAAACTAACTAAAAATGACAGTGTGGTGGTAGAAAGTGTTGATTTATTATCAAAAAAAAAAAAAAGGAAAAAGAGAAGGAAAAAGTCACCTTTGAAACCTACTCTTGTTCAAGGGTAGCAAAGACCTTAGACTATAAAATGGCCAATACAGCTAACTGCAGGCAGGCTACAACCTGGAGAACTTGATTGCAATAAACCCTGAATACAGGTATAAGACTAATCTTAAATTCTTAAATTTACAAGTAAATAATGCTCTCTTTTGAGAGCAGAACTATCAACAAAAGTCTAGAATTCTAAACCTATATAGTCTGGCATAACATTCTTATTTCAGAAAAACTAAAGTACTGAATTGGAAACTTAAGCTGGGGACTTCAACAAAGAAGATATGTACAAGAGAAATAATGAAATCTAAGAGTCATTCTTCCTTCTTTGAAACATTTATTTTATCGGATTTGAATAGTTTCCACTAGTGAAACCATCACATCTTTAAATACAAAATACAAGCAGTTACATATAAAAGCAGAAACTCCCAAGTTGCTCTGTAACTCTGGTCTGGATGGTAATGACAATGTGTTGTCTCTGTATTGTGACCATTACCCAATATTCTAATTTGTGCTGCTATAAAGAACATCTAAGAAACTGTGTAAACAGATGATAAAAAATTAGTGGAGTTAATTCCTAACCATTTTAATGCCATTTTAAAATAGAAAAATGTTTACCTGCTCTTCAGAAACCTCAGTAGGTGGAGGTATGCCTTGTTCAGACGGGTGATGATCTTGATAATTTGCGTTATGTCTATGACGTAAAGGAGGAAACAGTCTGTTCCAGTTAATCATCCCACCCTGAAAGCAGACACTGCTGTCAGTCTTTGCAGAAAGAACTACAAATTTTTTAAACAAAAAGATCATCCATACCACATAATATGAAAGGTAAATGTTTAAGCAAAGTACTTTATTTTAAACAACAAAAACTGCTGTAGTCTATTAAGAAGCAAAAATTGGACTAGTTACTGCTTTACTAGTTATTTGAAGTGATCACTGCAAACTACAGAAAAGTGCTAACAGAGGGAGGAAAGGATATTTCATATCCACTGGGACAGATCTAATTCAGTACAGTGCTAGACTTCTCAGGCTCAAAGATCACTGTCTTTACTGATAGGGATTTGCCTGGCAAGAGGTGCAACAGCAGGTCCTGCAAGAGCTTTGCAAGGCTGCTGCTGAAGGTACCCAGGGAAAAAGAGTGCAAGAAATAAGAGAGGGGAAAAAGCAAAAGGGGATTCTCAGTGCATCAACAAAACCACATCAGGAAACTCAGAACAAACCCAGCCTTCAGGATAGCTGTGATTTTCATGCAAGTGATTGCTTCTGTGACAGCAATGCGATTTACAGCCTCCCATACCACCTCACCTAACTTCCACGTATTAAATACCACTGCAAAATCTGGCCGCGTTCCAGTGCCAAAACATCTTGTAATTACACAGTAATAATACAAATACACAGCAGTAACACAGGTACGGTGTAAATCACAGAACTGAAACTTCCTCTTAATAACCAAGCTTGAAGTCTTGTAATAATAAGACATTTAGAATATAAAGCACAAATAATAAAGTGCAAGCTTTATAATTGTCCAGAAACAATGAATCCTCATTTCACTAGCTTAAACAAACATTTTTGTAAGGGATTTTGTATCACACCAAAACCACAGATCCTGCAAGCAGGTAAGATCAAACCCCAAATCTCTCTTTTCTATACAGTTTGTTAAAACACCTTTTGCAGTTTGTGTTGTCCTTTTCCTCCTCCCCTGCTCCCCCTGTTACCATGGAGATGATCCCCCTCCCTTTCTGTATATATAGGACATGGACTTCCTTCCTCTAGTTGCTCTATTTTAGTTCTATAATGTCGTTTCTCAAAAGACCTTTCTCTTATGAGAGTTTTTTCTTTTCTTCTCTCACTGAGGGCTCTTCCTGCTTTTATGTACCCCTGGAGCATTAAATCCCCTCTGCTCCATCACATCAGCTAAACTCGATTCTAAATCACAAAAAAAGTTAATTTAGTTTTCCTGCCCTTTCCTTTGTTTCTTTCCTTTCTCTCCAGAGGATACCCAACCAGCCCAGATACCACAGGGGGCAGTAAAATTGCACACGTAAAAATGCATTTGGGGAGTCATGAGATTTGAAACACCTTACATACTAGAGTGCATTTTTCCCTGCGAAGATGTGCAATAGCTAGGAGTCATCACTCATTTTCAAGACATAGTTTCCACTGCTGGTGATTTTGAATTTAAAAATTATTATGTATCTACATTTCTATTTTCCACACTGTATAAAACATTTGCTTAACATTCACGAGGTTTTAACCAAAGGATTCTGTATAAGCCTGGCATTAGCCAAACAGCATAGCATACTAAAAAGAAGAACTGGTTTGTAGTTTAAGCCCAAAGAGGGATATCAGACGTTCTACTGACAGCACTGCACTACCCTGTGGTCTTGGGTAATCACGTCCTGTACTTCCCCATCTATAATTTCCCCTAACTCAGAATTATGTTGAGTTTTAATTCATCAACTTTGAATTTCTGAAAGTCTACTAAGCTCTACAGTTCAGCAAGAGCACTGCACTAATGCTGTTTTGCATGTTTTTATTATTTAGAGAAGACCTGAGGAGGAAGAAGTAATACTGCCACAAGTCATTCACCTTAAATCGGTGAATTGAAAGATACTAAACAGGACTATGACACATTCCTCTGAAGCATCATAAGTCATACAGAATAATGTATATCAAATATAAAATCTACAATAAATGTATTAATTTACTAGTATTCCAGTGTATCTGAAGACTGAAATAAACATAACTTTCCAGCTGTGCCCTCAGCTTGAATACCGAGCTGCCTATTACAGTTTGGTTTTGCATCCTCCCTGTCCTGTGCATTGTCACCTAATACTACAAAAGGACTTGTCTACTTTCTTATCTCAAACTTAGAATACATTTTTAATTAACATACACAGATTTCATTACTTCCAATAAAAACTGCAGATTCCTTACAAATGTAACTATTTAGTTTTGAAGGTTTACAGCAGATACCTCGATAAACTACAAATGTTGACTGATGCATTCAGAAGAGTTCCATGTGAAGACTGATAACCCCTTCCCAGAAAAAACAAACAACTAGACAAATTATATCAACACAGCTGTGAGAAGATCTTTTTTGGTTGGCCTCAGAATATCTCAATTACCTTTGAAAACTGACAAACTCTATCAGTTCTTAACTATATTAATGAGGGAAGAATATCTAACATTTAATGGTGTGTGGACATGGATGTTTAGGATTAATTGCAACACTGAGGTCCACTTCTCATCTGTGTGTTACTTTAAACTGCACCAAAACCAGGTACATTAGGTTTCTTTATCTTAACTGCAAAAAATTCTTTCCCTTCACAGTCTGGCCTATAATTAGATGATGGACATGCACAAAGTTAGGCTCAAAAGAGCAAGGATTCAAGGAACTGCAGCAGGAACTATGGATCTGGTACTGTGCTAACCCCATAAAGTAAAGGTATGGAAAAATTGGGAAGTGTTGCTAATGTTGTAGATCTGTAGGAGATGGAAAGCAAGGCTACGGATTTCCAGTGTGGATGGTGACTGTGCAAAGGCCTTCAGATAACCTTAACTATCACAGCAGAAATACATGAAGATCTGTGAATTTTAATCTGAGCCAAATCAAACACCAAATAATATCTTACATTAAGTAAATACCACAAATTCCAGCTAAAAAATGCACAAGAGACTTCTAGACCAATACTCCACCTTGCCTCAGAGAAATTATTTTGCAGACTTCCCTTCATAATTTTATGATCGATTCTGTACTGCAGTGGTTTCACACTATACTAACATACTTGTGAGAAGTCAGAAAGATTTCACCTAAGATAACCAATCTGATTAATTTATTTAAGTGATGCTTCTAAACGCTCTGAGAGTCCCTACTGGGGAATCAGCACACAATATTTGTGCATTTCACAATATACTTAAACCTCAGCACCAAACAGCCCAGAAGAGCTCACACCAATCTCTTCACTCTCTGTTACCTTGTCTCAGGTAACAGGGCTCTCTGGAGTGATCCAAAACATTAAGCAGTGGGGATGCTCAAGGGTCCAGTATGTAAGTTCCCTTCCTGAGCAGCACCCAATGACAAGTGTCTGCCAGTCTAATCCATTTAATGAAACACAAGCAGTTCTTCTGTGATTCTGGTCTGTTGGTTTGTTATAAAAAGAATCAAGTGTAACATTACATGGTTTTGGGGGCTGGGACTTACTATGACTCAGGACCAGGTAAGGAGGATCCATTAAACCTGTCACATCCAGCGCCAATTTCCACAACTGACAGATTGACTCAGGCTATGTTACACTTTGATTATCTCAGGCAACATTTTTCTTTGTCCTGAATTGTAGGTGTCAGGGAGCAGTGAGTGCAGGTGTACTACTCGAGAATGAGAAGGACTGAAAAATTCAGTCTACAGACCGTCGCTCACAAAAATACTGCACAGAAATTGGTGCCTGGGCCCTTATTTCTGTTTGCAACATAGTCTTCAACGTGTCATCAGGAAAAACACTTGACAAAAACACTGCTTCATAAATTATTCAACTAGGATGACAGACACACTTAAAAAAAGGTCTATAAACTTTTCTCCCTCCCTTAATCCTACACTATAATTTTTTAACTATAGAAAAATTCAGTTTCCTTCTTTTAGCAGCATAAAGACTGGGTGAATTGGTTGATTGTAAATTCTTTGTTACTGCCTGATAGCAGACAAATATACCAAGGAAACCATTTTATTGGTCTCTAATAAATCACTACTAGAAGTGGATTAGGAGAACACTGGTGATGTTGGAACTTCCGTTACAGGAAGACAACAAACCAGTTGCAAGTTTAGATGACCAAAGAATGAGATTTAAGAACGGACTGGATTAAGGGAATGGGAAAATTGCAGCTCTTCGTCATGGAAAGGTTGTAAGGAAATACCATATTGATGATTTATTCTTGGATAGCTGCCAAGGCTTTATGTACAGAAGCTGTGCCTTATGAGGTCACATCCTTGACGTCTTTTTTTGATTTGGGTTGCTGCTTTTTTTTAATGGTGCCTGGGACAATTCTGTTTACAAGAAAGAAGTATCCTCCTTTCCTACAGAATAAGGAAGAACTATCTAGAGCTAGCAAATGTCTCTGATTGTACAGCCTGCTAAAACCCCAGTTATGCCATTTCTTTTCATATAATCTCCTCCCTCGCTTTTTTGAAAAACAGCTCGACCTATTTCCCATGTACATATTTGCCATGGCATATTTTCTTATCCAAAGCTTGACAAATAAAAATGTTGTGTTATGGACAATTAACAAATATCCAGTTATGTAGCCTTCAGATATGCATATATTTTAACTAATATTTCCAAAAAAAAAGAAAGAAAAAATTTTATAAAAGTCCTCTTGAAAGTGATGCATGTGGTTAAGATATTTTGATACTGTTATCTCACGTAGATGGTTAATGCCAACTTGCCATCTGTTTGCACAAACAGGAAGCACCTCTTGATATCTGTCCTGTTCACCTTTTCTTAACATAACAACCGCAGCAAAAGAAAAGAAAAAGGAAATTGCTTTGCATTTCACCTTTTAAAGTAACATTTTTAAAGTTTGCTACTCTGCATAGGAGCTATTACTTGGTATGGACATAAATATTGTCTTACTTCTTTCCTCTAAAGCTTCATTAAAAAAATGTACTGAAAGCAAGAAACACTTATTTACTGCTTTTCTGACATAAATTTTTCAACAATTTATTGACTCCAAAGGAGACATACTGA